AGATGAGGTTGAGAAGCGTGACGTGCGCGAGCTGTCAGTTGTTGAGAAATCCCCTCGTGGAGACGAGTCAGTTCTTCGGTAGAGAAATCCGCCGCATCCGAGGACCTGAGGATCGCTTCTAACAGCTGCGGTGACATACTCAATGCCGCGGATTGCGTGGCCACGCTGCGATGATCAGGAAAACACATGGAATCAAATTCGTGACCAGCTTGAGGGGCAGCGACTCTCCGGTAGCCCTCTGTGGCCCAGTCTCTTTTGTACCACATGGTGCCTTGGAACTGCTCACCGACTGGGTCCGGGTTGGGAGCATCGAACTCTCTCCACTCTCTATACGTGTGCGGTGGAGGTGGAGCATCATGTTCTTCATGTGGAGTCCATGATCCCGGATGAAAGATCTTGACCCACTGGGCATCTGGTTGTTGAGGATCCGGACACCATTCCAGCCACGGCATGACAACGCAACCCGGAAAGACAAATTGAAAGGTGTACGGCTGCAGACAACAATGATTGAAAGCGAAGCAACTGTCATAATGCAAGACAAGCCATGAACAAAACTAATCACTTTTGCAGCACTGCACGACTCCGGTATCGAAGACAATCTCCCGAATCGAATTGAACGGAACAGACTCCCCAGGAAGGCAAGGACGAGCATCAGCCATCATCAGAGTTGGAGGATGCCGATGAAGAGGTCAGTCCAGCATACATGAGGTCAGGTGCGCCCGAAGCGAAAACTGGCCGCGCAATGCTAGGGCGTGGGCGACCCAGACGTTGGTATCCCCTGGTGACCCAGTCTCTATAATGCCAGGTATAGAAGGATGCATAAGATACCGGTTGTGAAACAGCGCCTGTATTGGTGCCGCCTGTGCTTTCCGTCGGCCAATAAACTTCAAAGTGGTGGGTCTTGCGCCATTCCCGATAGGTGGTTGAGTCATCCGGGGGTGGTCCCAAGGTGTTCGCGGCGACTGGATGCCACGGACCCGGTACATAGATCCGAATCCATTCTACACTCGTGTTCGCTGGACCATTGACGATGTCGTAGTCAAAGTAGCGAGGCAAGACCCATCGTGCTGCGCCATACACTGTACAATTGAACATTTCAACCAAACAAGCCGCTCGAAGTCATGAAAGCAAGCGGCGAACACATGGAAACGGGACGCACAACCAAGCAAGACGCACAACATCATTTATCCGACATGCTACTCAAGTGTCACTCCGAATCGTTCCAAGGATCATAGAATGGTGGCGGCGACGGCTCTCGCCACGCCCCATCCGGCACCGATGAGCCCACCGAGGAATTGGCGTCCGCATTCACGAGCCCAATGGCTGGTAAAGGAGCTCCAAGTCGTTGATACCCTCGTGTTTGCCAGTCCCGGTACTCCCACACGTGGTAGGACACATAGGAACTGGGCGTGACTATGGGATCCGTTGTTGTGCCTCCGGTGCTGTCTTCGGACCAGTACACTTGAAAGCGATATGACCTGCGCCACTCCCGATACGTGGAAGCGTAGAGTGGGGCCAGCACTGGAGCATCATCGGGAACGGGTCTCCACATGCCCGGAGAGTAAATTCGAATCCATTCCACTCCTCTGACGATCTGGTACTCGAAATATTGAGGGTTCATAGCGGCAAGACAGGCTCTCGCGATGCCGCTAAAAGCAATCGAAAATCTGCGGCGAAGACACACATGCAATGACAACCGCACACAGCTGAAGGAGAGCAAGGCAACTTTTCAAACTCAAGGTGAGACACTGCAGCGAGGTTTGTAATATACGACTCCTAAGCTTCACCGCCGTTGATGCCGTGCACATCTGCAATGGTAATGTCCTGGTCGTCTACGATCACAAGGTGAAAGACATTTCCGCCCGTGGTGCAAGATGGCATGGCAGTAATGCTTGCAATTTGCCGATGGGGACAACGATGGACGGCCAGCACGCTTGGAGGGGAACACTGTAAAGGGCCGCCGAGATCTCCGCGGTACCGAAGCGGATGCTGTCCGAGATCGTTTGGATGAGCGCCCTGGACTGTGTAGCTCTTCATCACGGGAATGGTCGGTGCTGTAGATCGAGCGGCGTGTGCGCTGCGATTTCGGAGTGGCAGGGCAGGACTGTCCGCGAGGAGCTGTGATCGAGGGGCTCCCTACTGAGGGCATAAACTGTGGGTGTAGAATCACCGGTGGTGGTGGCGGTGGAGGAGGAGGAGGTGGAAGAAGCGGTGGGAAACTTGGCGGGGGCGGAGGTGACGCAGTCTGCCGAATGGGTCTGTCAAGTAGGGCTCCAGGTCCGTGAAATTGTAACCACGTCGGCTGCGCTCCATGGGTCCAGGTAATGTACGTCTGTACAACTTGTTCCGACATGATTTGAGCAACTCAGTCATGAATTCACTTCACGTCAGCGGCAACACCCAAAACGGCAAGCCATAGGTCCCTAGTAAAACGGCAATCAAGTGCAAGCAAGCAAGTTTCATGTGATCAATGGCTCTAGCCGAATACGCCGCCATGGCC